GAAGGCAAGAGGAGAAGGGGACGACAGAGGATGAGATGGTTGGACAGTGTCATTGAAGCAACCAACATGAGTCTGACCAAACTCCGGGAGGCAGTGGAAGACCGGAGGGCCTGCCGTGCTCTGGTCTATGGGGGTCACAGAGTCGGACACGACTTGACGACTAAACAACAACAACGGACACGAAGGGATCGTGCAGCTTATGCTAAAATCCCAGCGGTCTCATGGACTTCTATGGGTCACTTTCATTGTCGGGCCCGATTCAGGGCGCGTGGATTGTTAGTAGGAATGGGGAGAGGGAAAGGCTCCCGATTGAAACCCGGAAGTCTGCTTTCCCGATTTTCTTACCCCTTTCCTCCATCCGGGTTACGCTGGTGCCTGACGGTGTCCCACAGGGTTGCGGGATCTCGCGCGTGCGCAGAGAGTGGGAATGTGCGACAGCCTTTTACTTTGGAGTCACTAGAGCTGCGCCTCCGACTGAGGTGTTCGAGCGGCTGGATCTTCCCGCCATTTGAACTTCCCGCCTGGGAGGATTGCGAGTTTCGTCGTCGTGGCTGTAAGAAAGGGCCCCGGTTCGGGTCGGCTGTCTTTTCCGAAGGGGTCAGCCTAGCGAAGCCAAGGGCTGTGTTTTCCGAGTCTTCCCGCCGCCGCCGCCGCCATGTCGGCGGGCTTCTCTTTCGGAGCGGCGACGTTGCCTTCGGCCACCGCTGCGGCTGCCGGGACTGGAGGGGGTGGCGGCGGCGGGGGCTTCTCCTTCGGGGCCACTCCGAGGTAAGTGAAAAAACGGTAACGAAAGCCCCTTTTCCTCCCTAGGGAGAGGGAGAGGAGTGGCTTTTAAGAGGCGGACGAGTTTCTATACTGTTGCCCTGTGGAGTCTTGTGTTGTTTTTCTTGAAAGAGGCGGCCGGAATTCCTAAACTAGATTAAAAATAAGTCACTTGTCTTAAGCGCCTTCCGCTGTGGACGACGTGAGGGGAACTCGGACTGGAAATGGACCTCAATGACATAAATAACAAAGGTCCAATATTGGGAATGAAATGCCCTTGAATACTTAAAATTTGCGAGAAAGAGCCCCAAGAAAGAGTTACAATACCCAAGGCATAAAGTTGCAATCGCATGAATACTTGGGCATAAACTCTGCTGGACTCAGTGGAACTTTCTTCTGAGTAAAACATGGGTGAAAGTGGGCTGCATTCTATAAGGAAGGCTGGCTAGGAGCAGTCTGCAAACTGCTGTACTTGTTTTTCCACTTGAAGAAGTAAGGTTTATAAGTTAGGTTGTCATTATTGATTTTTTAAAAAAATAATCTTTATCCAGCAGCAGTGTCTTTAAAAAAAAAACGGAGCAACCAGGTTGCATTATTAATGCTGCTTTTCCTACAGTTCTGAAATGCTAGGCAATGAAAAACTTTTGTCGGTTTCCTGTAAATGGTGGTGTTGGAAAATTCATTCAAGACGTTGCAGCAGTTAACATGTGTTTGTGACCCCTTTGGACTTTACTGTCTTTTAAGTTTCCCTTCCCAATTTATTCAATCATAACTTTCATGCTCATATTTAATACATATTTGGCATAGTGGGATGTGGCCCTCTTTTATCTTCAGGATATTCTGTTCCATCCTTTTTAAAATCTGATGCCATTTTTTGTAGTGGTCCCATTAACTCAATGAGCAATAGTCACTAATTAATGATGAGTTTTGCAAAATACCTGGAGGGCACCAAACTGGTACTGTATTCTGTTCTGTCTGCACCCATTCCTCAGTGAGACCACATTCCATAGTCTCTGAGTACATTTAGTTTCATTGGGCCATTTTAGAGAATTTATTCGTTATTGTGTATTCTACTTAATTCTTTTTTGCAGTTTTGCAAACCTTTTCCCCCTAACTCTGCTTAGCATCTCACTTTTTTGTAGGAATGATACAATTTTGACTTCATAAAGATGCACAGTTATAGAACTGAATCTGCTCTTAGTGTGTGTTTTACATGATAGCAAAGGGAGATACCTTAGTTTGTGTTTTGGAACACTTTAATAAGCAGTAAGTAAAATGCTAAAGATACATGAGTTACATTTTGCTAATAATTATTTATCTTATAATTTAGCTCAACTGGAGGGCTTAACTTTGGGACACTGGGCTCCACAGCTACTGCAACCACAACTACTCCTTCTGTAGGCTTTGGAACTGGACTTTTTGGCTCAAAACCTACCACTGGCTTCACACTAGGAGGGACTAATACGGGTAAATATGGTTTTCTGTCCTGTTGGAATGAGCATTAAATTAGTATCTTTTATTATTAGCACCAGGCTGTTAATCATGAAGAGGAAAACTAACAAAACATATATGGGTCACCGAATTGTGCACACAGTTCTATGAATCAAGCTGGATAGCTTAGTGGTTTAGTTATCTGGCTGTGGAGCCAGAGGTTGGGAGTTCAATGCCCCACTATGCCTCCCTGACAGGGGCTGAACTTGATGATCCATAGGATCCCTTCCAGCTCTGCAGTTCTTAGGAAGTGAATCTATTCTGTATACAGCAATGACTGCAACTTTATTATTCTAACAGCAAAAGTAGTTGTCTTATCTATAAGAAAAATAACAAGATCTGTATTAGAATACCTTTATTAGCACAGCTCAGAGTTACAAAAACTGTCTGGCTTTTGACATTAGGCTTAAGGAGTCCCAAGGATGTCCTTGTAAATTGAGATTGTATAGAACAGTGGTTCATATTAATATTCCCAAAAACATGGATCAAACATTTTGCTTTTAGAAGTAGATTTATTAAATTAATACTTAACATATATGTCCTTCAGACATTTATTTTTCATGTTAATTATTTCATATCTGCATATCCATTTCTGCTTGAACTAAAAGTTACAACAGTACTGTATAGATTATGTTCATTGGTGACATTGGTGTGAAATAATGCCTACATGACATGAATGGCAAGATTATGTGATGCTCCCAATTCCACTTCAGCACAGTTGAGTCTGTGGGCTTGGCTATGACAGTAAGATCTGCACTGGTGCCTTATCTTCTGACTTGGAAATATGCAAGAGACTTCAAATGCAGCATAGTAGGCAGAAGAGGGACACTTTCCTCAAACAAAGTCTTTACTTGTTTGCTGTCACTAGTGAATTGAAGATTTGATTTTCATAAGAAATGTTCCCATATTCTTTTTGAAAGTAAGCTCTTAACTTCTTTAGTATTGCTAGAGAGCAGCTAAAAGGCATTAACATGGTACTTTGTAGATAAATCTGTAAGGCAGTTGCCAACGTAAGTGTGGTTTAAATTCTATTTCTATCACTACACAGGAACAGCTACAAGTATAGGATTACTTGGTAAGCAAAATATATTAATTGCTAATTTTGCTTTTTCTTCTTCTTTAAACTAAGTGTGATGGTTGGAGATTGTAACATGAAAAGATGAAGACCAGTGGTCCCCAATGTTTTCCTAACCATGGACCGGTTGAGGGGGTGGGGCACCCCCCACGCTTGCTGAGGTTATCCTCTAATTTTTGCAATTAGTATGCACATCTGGAGTAATGCAACTAGGAGATCATTTTCACTGGGCCCACTCAGTTTAAATGAGGTCATGAGAAGAGACATCAAAGCAGGCTTGAAATAGAACTATTATTTTACAGGAACACCTGCAACTACATCTGCCTCTACCACAGGCCTTAGTTTAGCATTCAACAAGCCTGCAGGATCAGCCACACCATTTGCTTTGCCAATAACTTCCACATCTTCTGGACTCTCTCTTTCTTCTGCCCTCACATCAACTCCAGCAGCAGGTAATGCAACTGTAGTTTTGTGTTCAGACTATGTTTCTTTCCATTTTGTCGTATCTGCGTACGTTGAAATCTTAGTATCACTTATTTGTTTACTTAATTTGTATCTCATATTTTTCCCAAGAGGGACAACCCAGAGTGACTTGTAATGAATTGTAAAATAAAAATAATGGAGTAATTAAAGACATAAAAACCTACAATATTAAGAAACAAACATACAGTATTAGTAATTGAAAGTAGTAAGTGAGATTCCCTTAAAACAATTTAAAACTCATTTAAAAAGATAAAAAGACAGTTCCCTTGTTAAAACTCCTTTCTAGCAGCAAATTGGTTATTAAAGGCCTGCCTAAAAATTCTTTGCTTGATGGTGGAAAGACAACAGAGAGAAGGCCATCCTGGTCTCCTGTGGAAGGGAGTTCCAGAGCCTAGGAATAGCTACCGAAAAGATATTCTGTGGGGGTAGAGATACTGAGAGAGAGGCTTCCCTAGAAGATCTTAAAACATGGGGAAGTGCACATGGGAACATACAGTCCCTTCAGATCGCCTGGACTAAAGAAATTCAGAGCTTTATACATCAAATTTGGCAGAAAGTTTGCCTAGTAACAGACCAGTAGCCATTGAAGCTGTTGTAACAAGGAATTTCTGTTCTGGTTGTTAACCAGTTTGGTCAGGAGTCCATAGCATTCTGGACCCACTGATATTTCTGAACATTTTTCTGAAGCAGCCCCTCATAGAACACATTTGAGTAATCCAAACAGATGTTATTAAGTAATGTATTACCATTACCAGATCAGACAACTCAAAGGTTGCTTATTGCTGTTGCACAATTTTTAACTGTGCAAATGCACTTCTGGCCACCACTGACACCTGAGCTTCTCAGTGCAATGTTGAATCCAGGAACATTACTAAACCTCTAACCTGTTTTTTCAGTGGGAGCTTAACCCTATCCAGCACAGGTAAAATCCTGCTATTTTGACTGCCCAGGAGCACTTCTACCTGTCGGGATTAAGCTTCAATTTGTTTGCCCTCATTAAATTCATTAGTGATACCACACCCTGATTCACAACCAGAACAGCTTCTCTGAAATTGGGTGGAAAGGACAAATAGAATTGGGTGTCATCTGTCTACTTATGTCAGTGGACCCCTAAGCTCTGGACATTTCTTTTTCAGTGGTTTCATCTATATGTAAAATAGTATGGGAGGCAGAACAAAGCCCTGAGGGACTCTACAGGCCAACGACAGCCAGAGTGTTGAACAGGAATCCCTCAGCATCACCTTCTAAGTTTGCCTCTCTAAGAAGGAATTGTGTCCCAAAACGCTGGTTCTATGGCTTGGAAATGGAGATGAGCACCACCCCCTAGAGTCGGACACGACTGGACTAAATGTCAAGGGGAAACTTTATCTTTAAAAAAGAGCCCCAAGGCCCCTTTCCAGAGAGATGACCCAAAAGGATAATCTCTCACTGAAAATTACTGACAGAATCTAAAGCTAAACAGCTAATCTCAGATGTAACAGTACTGTTCTGATGATTGTAAAGAAGGTTCCTATTAAAAGATAGAATTAGAACAATCTGATGTTAGATATGCTAGCTCTACTGAACTGAAAGTTTGTGATAGTTGTATATCATGACTGACCACAGCTGGTAGTATTCTTAAACACTCAGTGTTTATAGCGGTGTTTCTTACATTAGTTATGATATTATGCAGTGTAGAAAAGTAGTAAGTTGCAAGTGTAGGAAGCACTTTCATCTAGTAAGGGGCACAAAAATCTCTGTCTTGTTTCTAATGAAAATCACCTTAACTGCCCTAAAATGAGTGCAGCATTGGAGGATTTGCATCAGACCCTTGCACCTCTATCACTAGTGTCACATGCTGAGAATATGACACTTCTCATTCCCCAATAGAGTTTTTAGGGTTCTATATGAATATCTCTGAAGGTATGATTGCCATTTGTTGCTGTGGGATTGTTGTGCCCTTTTTTGTGAGGTTATACTCTCTTGTGGTGGCAGTGGTTTCAGCTTATGGAACACCTTTGGAAGTATTTAATCATAATCACGGAATTCTTGCTTCAGGAAGTTTGAACAGCTTGCAGGAATCAATAAGACCTTGTGGCAGTTACAGAGATTACGAATATGGGCTTACATGTATGTGGTGATTCTAAGTCTGAGAAGTCTAGGGTTAGTAGATTCTTTGACTTTGTTTAGAAGTACATCCTCTGTCATGACCCTCTGGGATAATTTAATGAATATCCAAGGGTTAGTTTGTGTAAGTGAATAAATTAAGTGACGGTAACACCAAGTAGAAGAGTTTTAGTGCTATAACTGAATTCAAGAAGTATGTGTAGCAGATTTCTTGTAAAAAATGGTGTGTCCCTTCATATAATTATATTTCTACTTAATCATTCAGGATCTACTGGATTTACATTAAACTTGGGAGGCACAGTTGCGCCAACCACAAGTGTATCCACAGGACTTTCTCTGGGAGGAGCTTTGGCTGGCTTAGGAGGGACACTGTTTCCAAATGCAAGCACATCTGCAACAGGTGACATTCCGTTTATGTGTATCTGTCTTTTAGCATTTTTTCAAGATGTGTGTCTTATCCAGACAGTTTTAAGATGTGCATTTTACCTCTTCTTTTATGAAAGAAGTGAATAATAATTGTTGTCAATCTGTTATGCAAAAATTCTTGGGGTTTGTGGTCACATACAGTATAAAAATTAATTCACTACTTTGAGCAAAATTGTTTGTACTTCTTGGAAACTCGCTTTCGAAGAGGTAGCCTTGATAGTTTATTCTATCATGTGTAGTAACAACAAAACAAATGAAAATGTAACCCAGAGAAACTTACAGTACACTGAAATAACTGTTAATTTTTAAGGTGCCGCAGTACTATTTTACTTTTCTCCCTCTTCATGAAAACTACGGTAGAAATTCTTATAGGTTCAACAGCAGTGGTTTGACAAGATCTTATCATGTTTCTGTTATGAAGGCTGCAGTGCTGTGCAGTCTTACACAGAAGTCAGTTGCATTTAATTAGATGGGAATTTGATTCTTAATAATCATGTCCTGAATTGTGCTTTAAGACATCTTGCTGCCTTCTGAATGTGCATGAAGTCAGAGTACCACAATAGGCTTCTTCCCCTGTTGTGGTTGACAAGGCAGGTGGAGGCTTGAGTCAGGATAACTGTGAAGTTTGATGATATTCAGAGGATCTCCAAAGCTCTTTGTGGCATCATACAATATCTCAGCTCAGTCCTCTGTGGAAGGGAGGGTAGAATTTGTGATAAACTTAAATTTTCATTGTCTAACCAAACCACAGAACTTGTGGATGCCTGTTGTCTAACATAACATCTGTGTACAGCTTCTCAGGGCTTCAGTCAATAATTGTAAAGATAACATGCCTTCATCTTGCTCTACTGGCAATTTGATAAAGACTTATTGCTTTAAAACAAAAATATAGTATGAATGCAGCTTCTAATGCTGATATCTAAAAATGCCAAAAAATCTCACACCAGTTGCTGATTATTTTCAGGGCTTGGGCAGAATGCTTTTGGTTTAGCTCTTGGGACAACTGCAGCACCTGCTGCTACAATCAGTGAAGGCCTTGGAGGCATAGACTTCAGTAGTTCTGCAGATAAAAAAAGTAAGTTTTTACAGAGTATTTGGAAGGTGAGCTTCTTGAGGGTAATCAATCCACATTAGCAAATGAGTAAAGGCTTTTTAGCCTTTTGTTTCTGTCCATGGAGTTTTCTTGGCAAAAATACTGGAGTGGCTTGCCAGTTCCTGCTCCAGGTGGATTGCATTTAGTCAGAACTCTCCACTATGACCTGTCCGTCTTGGGTGTCCCTGCATTGGTATAGCCCATAGCTTCTCTGAATTACTCAAGCTCCTTCGCCATGACAAGGCAGCAATCTGTGAAGGAGCCCTTTGTGGCATCTTGAGAGTCCCCTGGACTGCAAGGAGAACAAACCTATCCATTTTGAAAGAAATCAACCCTGAGTGCTCTCTGGAAGGACAGATCCTGAAGCTGAGGCTCCAGTACTTTGGCCGTCTCATGAGAAGAGAAGACTCCCTGGAGAAGCCCCTGATGTTGGGAAAGTGTGAGGGGAAAAAGGAGAAGGGGACGACAGAGAACGAGATGGTTGGACAGTGCCATGGAAGCTACCAATATGAATTTTACCAAACTCCGGGAGGCAGTAGAAGACAGGAGGGCCTGCCGTGCTCTGTGGTCACAAAGAGTCGGACATGACTTAACGACTAAAGAACAGCTACCGCTTTTTCCTGTAACTCCAAGGAGAGCAATGAATGTCTACAAATACTATTTTATAAAATCGATTTCTGTACCTATTTGTCACTTTAGCATTATGATTGCTGCAGAACTCATGTTTCTTGCTGCTGAGCAAATGGTAATATTATTACTTTTATCTGGAAGTTGAGTCATGGCAACTGAACTTCTTTCTTATTAGGTTGAAATATTTCACCACTCATCCAAGTAGCTCCTTCAGTCAGAGGAGAGTTGGTAGAAGACCCTTGATATATCCTCCACATTGGTTTCATTTCTCCCTGTTCTGAATAGGCTTGTTAGATGGAACAGGGGGTGAGTGAAAATGCCACTTCTGCAGCCCATCTCCACCCAGTGGGCCTTTAACAAGGCAGTGTCCCGACCGAACAGGACAATGGAACAGTCTGAGACCCAGAGCCAACGAAAGAACTTGCTCATTCCTTACATGGTGGCTATGTGTGAAAAGCTCAAAAGGATTTTTGGTAAATACCACATACCCATGCATGTCAAACCGATAAACATACTAAAGCACCCAAAGGACACCAAAACAACAGAAGCAATGTAGTATATGCAGTTCAGTGCAATGAGGAGTGTTCAGAGCTCCACATTGGAAAAACTAAACAGAAGAATGACCCAGGAGGGGCAGTGGCTCAGGACCACAATCAGCAGTGTTCCTTCATTTGAAGGACAAAGGAAACTCATTTGATGGCGGAGATACCCTCATTTTGGACCATGTATATAGAAAGTTCCTCACTCAACAGAGGGGGAGGCCTTAGATACAATCTGTCTCCTATTTATCATGCTGTCCTTTCATCCATCCCCAGAAAGATCAGGACCACACCCATCAGAAAGACCACTGTTAATGACTGTATCAGGGGTCTCCTACCAACTGAAGAAGCTACTTGGATGAGTAGCGAAATGTTTCAACCTAATAAGGCAGAAGTCCAGTTGTCATGACTCAACTTCCAGATAACCTCACCTGGATGACTGAGAATCTTCACAGATATACTTTTACTTTTAGTACTGATTTATACTTTTTATACTTTATGGGGTGCTGTGCATCTTACAGTGACTGGAATCTTGTTGAGTGGCAGTGGATTTTAGTAGTCAACAAGCATGCTTCTATTTAATCTCCACCTTGTCATCCCAAAAGTAGAGTCTGCCTGTTTCAACTAATAAGGTTTCCACTTACACAGAAGGTACTAAATACCTCTGTACAGAAACTCCTGAATTGTTGACTCATTCATGTGGTGGGCTATTGAATGGGCAGTTTGAGGGAATAGGACAGTGTGCACAACTGTCCGTAGGCTGAAATCTAGCAGCACAACCTATGCTGCGTAAGCCTGGTGATGTCATCAGCCATTGTGGATTTCAGAAAATTAATAATTTCTGGTCTTCTCCTTCCTCTACAAGGGGAGCCTTTTCATCATGAGAAAAACTCTAGGAGCCTGGGATGGAGTGGGACAGTTGTTAGTTTCCAAAATTTTACCACCAGCAGTGATTCTCAGATTCCCCTCAGTGAAAAGGATCCCATGGAAGCCCTGGGACCTTTGAAGGGGATGAGTTATGTTAATTGTTAGGAAAACAAATTATGTGTACTGAGGAACAAGTGAAATCACCATTAGATATGTTTAATAAGACTGTTTTAGCTGTAAAGATGCAATATTAGCGGTTGCTTGTTGAAATGAAAAATGTTACTGGCCTTGTAACTGGTGAGTTAGGCTTAAATTCATCAAGACCTATGTCAGGTAACACCTATAAATCTTAAACTCGCCGCAAAACTTCTTGTTGTTCATATTTATATGGAACACTTTCGTTATTAAAAGAATTCTCAGACGCAGGGAATGGGATAGATTACTCTGCTTCTGTGGCAGGATGGGCATCATAGTCCTCCTCCTGTGCTTTATATGACCCTTGTACAGAGAGGAGCAATTTTGATGTATCTGTGCCTCTCTGGTCTGATCTCGACTGTGTGTGTGCTTGTACTTTTTTAAAACCTGAAAATGACTCCTGATCACTTTTTAAAAAATATATGAGGAAAGGACCTGTTAGGGGTACAACATTTGAATTCCTTTTTAAGTATGGTATTAATCTGAATATTTCTTGTTAGAAAACCCAGTGAAGGTGCTTATTTTTAAACAAATCTATTTGATATTTCCTTATTTAAAAATTAAAATATGCTTCTTAATAGCAATATTTTTTTCTCCTAGATGATAAAACAGGAACAAGACCAGAGTAAGTATTAAATATTGTTTATAATTTCATAAATATCTGGATTATCTATATAAAATATGCAGAAATATTTTTATGACTATATTCATTGGATTTAATATGAATGTTAGGATCCTAAAATTGTGAACTTAATGTGGATTCTGCAGAGATATTATAATTTCCAGGGAGAACAATGCTAGATGAAATTTTGCTGATTTGCTTGGTTTATAATAAGTGTGGAAGAAGTAGATAAAGTTCAGAGTTGGAATAGAAATTGTTTCATATTGTTCTTTGCAGTATGAAATAAAAACTCCTCTGCTAAATTGGCAGCTTTGTGCTGATAATTTGGAATCTGTTGTCTGTTGGCAGGGATAGTAAAGCACTAAAAGATGAAAACCTACCTCCAGTTATCTGCCAAGATGTAGAAAACCTCCAGTAAGTATATCTTCATTCTTCAGAAATTACATTTGGTTCCAAGAAAAATAATTCCCTTAAAAATAGTTCTCTTGATTAGTATATAAACTTTTTTATTGATAGAAGTACTGATTCTTGACAGTTGTGGCAATAGTGCATACAATTCTTCAGATGCCGTGGAGGCAGTTTGGTGGTGGTGATGGTATCTCTTACCTTGCCCAATAAGACATAACAGGTGTTTGCATTCGGATGAAAACTGTTTCTGTTCTGATTGTTTCTTTTTGCCCCCGCCCTATCTTTCTCACCCAGGAAGTTTGTAAAAGAACAAAAACAGGTTCAAGAGGAAATCAGTCGAATGTCTTCCAAAGCAATGCTTAAGGTGCAGGAAGATATCAAAGCTTTGAAGCAACTTTTATCAGTGGTTGCCAGTGGATTGCAAAGAAACACTCTTAACATTGATAAACTGAAAGTGGAAACTGCTCAGGTATAAGATCTATAACTTAGCTACTGGAAATGGCCACATGCGTACAGTCTTCAGAAAAGTATGCTCACTTGTCTGGCAGTTGTGCATGACTGACCTTCTGTCCATACAGCTGAGAACCTCTTTATATAAGAACGACGACATTGTAATTGCACTAGTATAGAATGTTCCCACATACGGATAAAACTGTCATTTTGTGGCTGTTTATTTTATCTTATCTTCATATCCTTGGAGACTGTTGAGGAAATTAAAGATTTAGTCTCCTCTAGGAAAGTGTGAAGGGACATGGTGGCGCTGCAGGCTAAACCACAGAAGCCTGTGCTGCAGGGTCAGAAGACCAAGCAGTCGTAAGATCGAATCCACGCGACGGAGTGAGCGCCTGTCGCTTCTCCCAGCTTCTGCCAACCTAGCGGTTCGAAAGCATGCAAATGCAAGTAGATAAACAGGGACCACCTCGGTGGGAAGGTAACAGCGTTCCGTATCTAAGTTGCACTGGTCATGTGACCACGGAAGATTGTCTTCGGACAAAACGCTAGCTCTATGGCTTGGAAACGGGGATGAGCACCATCCCCTAGAGGCGAACACAACTGGACAAAAATTGTCAAGGGGAACCTTTACCTTTACCTAGGAAAATGTGAAGGCAGGAGGAGAAGGGGACGACGGAGGATGAGATGGTTGGACAGTGTCATCGAAGCAATCAACATGAATTTAACCCAACTACGGGAGGCAGTGGAAGACAAGAGGGCCTGGTGTGCTCTGGTTCGTGGGGTCACGAAGAGTCGGACACGACTAAACAACAATAACAACAAGCCCCTAACCATTATGTTTATCAAATCCTCTGGGTAAAACTACTGAGATGGGGAGTTTAGGGTTAGGGTTTATAAACACACAACATGACCCTATCTCTGTGTGCTGTTTATTCAGGGTTTTGATGCAGTAAAGAGAATAGTCTAGTTCAACTGGAAACAATGTTGTTAACTGTTATAGTGTAATCAAACAGACCTAATTAGGGGTAGGAAAAGGATCCTTGTTTGGGTTTAATGCTGTGTTGTGATTTGTAAACTGGGTTAGGAATGTTGAAGTCATTACTACACTTGCAGCTACAGGTTGCAATGGAAGATAGTATGGCCTGGCCAGTTTTTGACTAGGGCATTATTCATTAAGTAATTTCTCGTAGCACATACCTACAGGCTTTTAGTGAATGCCTTCTGGATTTTATGACTATCCAGAATTTTTTGCTGAAGCCTGGCAATGATCGCTTGGCTTTTAATAGGCTCCCCCCCCCTTGTGCCCAGTAGACATGCTTATGAAGAAGTTTGTTAGGAATATCTTGTTCTCTGAGATGGGCTTACTTTATACAGAAATTTTACTACTATCAGAATTTCAGAACAAGGATGTACAAGAGCCATCTTTCTCCTTATAGGAACTTAAAAATGCTGAAATCGCATTAAGAACACAGAAAACTCCTCCTGGCCTTCAGCATGAAAATACAGCACCTGCAGAGTAAGTATGTGTTTAGACTTTCTGATTATGATGTGCATTCATATATTATGTGTTGTAATTAACCGTACATTCCATATGGATTTTATTTAAATTGCCCCTTTTAATATCTGGACTTTGTTTTCCACCCACTGGCATTTCATACTAGAATATTGTGCAAAAATTAAGATTCCGATGATATTGGGAGGATTTGCTTATGATAATGCGAGGGTTTGCTTGACCTGTTAAGAGGGATTGTCTATGCTAAAAGCAAATTGTTTAGTTTTTTAGGAGTGATTAATAGATAAACGACTTGTACCCAGGCTTCATTTTTTTCATATAAATTATGCTTATAATCTTTGGTCAGTGAAACATACATGAAATCAGTAATGAAGTAGTTTCTGCCAAAAACTGTAGTATCTGACAGCGATTATGAGAAAGAGAAAATGAATACATACAAACTTGCCCTGGTGCCTAATCCTTAAAAAACAGATGAATATTTTTTGTGGGAGATATTTAATCACATTTGTCACTCAAAATGTTTTGAATTGCACTTAATCTAGCTACTTCAGAGCCTTGATAGAACAGTTTGAAGTACAACTGCAGCAGTACAGACAACAGATTGAAGAACTAGAAAATCATCTTGCTACGCAGGCAAACAATTCACATATAACTCCACAAGGTAAAATTTACTTTTCACTTGGTTTCTTAACTGCAACACCAGACACGTCCTCCAGCATTTTGTAAATATGCAGAAATTTTTGATCAGAGATCACCAAGGCAGTAGGATTAACTGTAAACATCACATGGAATTAATCATTACATTTTAGGCTTGAATGACCTCATGGTCCATTTAAACTGAAAATGGCAATGCTGATATTTTGGCCTGTACCTAGATAGTGAGCTCCTGTATCCACAAACAGAGTAGTCATCAAATGCCTTTTACTATGCATCTGAAGCACTTTTTATCCTGGCAGAAGTAGCTAGGGATCTCCAGATGAACGCTCAGCATGAAAATCATTAGAAAACACTGCAGGCGGCCATTTTTCCCCCGGAGGCCATTTTGGAACCGCTGATCAGCTGTTTTTTAAAACATCGCTATGTGAAAATTGGTAAGTTAAACGCTTACCGATCATCGCAAAGCAATTTTTTGCCATTAAAAAGATCGCAATGCGATCGCTTTTACGATCGCAAAAAACAAATCGCTATGTGGATTCTTCGTTAAACGGGGCGCTCGTTAAGTGAGGCACCACTGTATTTGAAATCCTGTAAGATCTTTAATTTGATAGCTTCGTGGTAAATTACATAATGGCCAAAATCCTGTTGATTAGTGTAGTAAATCACATTAGAGCAACCCATAAAATCCATGGAGATTTGGTGAGACAACTACTCCATAAGTTCCATTGATTCAAATGATCCCAGTTAAACTGACTTAATATGCTAAAGTAGGTTGCTGTTAGAGTAGGCCTATTTGAATCAATGAAAGTTATGGAGGAGTTGACTCACCAACTCCTCATGAATTCTCAGTGGCCTTACTGTAGTGCAATTTACAATGCTGAGCAACAAGATTTTGGCCAGTAAACTGGATAATCATGGTTTTGTTATTGGTCCCAGCATGATTTATATTACAATATCATGTAATTTTTGAAATCCTCATGTTTCACAGATCTGTCCATGGCTATGCAGAAAATTTACCAAACATTTGTAGCTCTTGCTGCACAGCTTCAATCAATACATGAAAATGTGAAGGTAAAATCTGTTTCTAGATGTAATATGGCTTATAAATCAAATTAGACCTATTGTTTGTATTTTTAAAATAGTACTTGTTCCTAATAGGGCATCTAGTGATTTCCCCTGAGTTACAGTTTGTACATGGCCTGTTTCCATTCTTCTTTCTTTCAAAAAGAAACAGGCTGCTAATAAATTTTCTGAAGGAGTTTTAAGGTAGGAGTTTGCAAGTAGTTGTAGTTCTGGACGGGGTAGCTGTATTAGTCTGTGCAAGCATTATAGGTGAGAACAAATTAAATAAAACAAAAACAAAAATGTGGTGGCATCTTAAAGACTAACTTTTATGTTTTTTAATGTGAGCTTTCGTGGATTCTTACGTCTGATGAAGTGGACTTGTCCACAAAAGCTTGTATTAAAAAGATCTAAAAGTTACTTTTTAAGGTGCCACCACATTTTTTTACTTTTTAATTGTACTTTTTTTTCACCTATAATACAAATAGTAGACAACACAGCATACATTTTGGCAAAAGGTAAGTTCCCCTTCCCTCTCTGCCAGCCCAAATCATGTTAAGTTATTGCTGTAATTCCATATGAAAATTCCTGCTTATGAGTTACTGTCTCCTTTATCTAACTCTGTGCCACTCAGCATCATACAGTGTTGGCCGTGCTCAGGAAGAGTGCCAGGAGTTGCAGTCCAGTATATGAAGAGCCATCTCTCATCTGTGTCTGAATACTTTGAGTTTTTTAGGCTTTTAAAGAAACTGCAATCCAGATTGAGTCTGGAAACAAAAAGGTCAGATGTGAACTAGCTTTTCAGACTTCCTGGTTATGTGGAGAATCTATAGGGAGGCTTCCCACTCCTGTCTTGGGAGAATGTCTGTGAGAGGTAAAGCTAGGACACTCTGTTGCTCACATCTTCACATGAACTGCATTACCGAATGTCTGCAAATAACTATAGTGATACTCTAAATTAGATCAAATAAGTAAAGCCAGATGTGATGATCTAAAGTACTTTTTTCTTTCACTTCAGATGCTCAAAGACCAATATCTTGGTTATAGAAAAACCTTTCTGGGGGATGCCATGGATATATTTGAGGCTAGACGAATAGAAGCGAAGAAGTGGCAGACTGCTCCACGGGTTACAACTGGACCTACACCTTTCAGCAACATACCAAATGCAGCAGCCGTTGCCATGGCTGCAACACTTACACAGCAGCAACAGCCTGCTACAGGTCTGAGTGCATTCAAGTTATAGCTTTTAGTGTTACAAAACTAGTAAGCTTGTATGATGTTTTATATACAGTCTTCCTTTGTTTTGGAAATCTAAAAATTATGAGTAACAATTCTTCAAAATATAGGTAATAGAAAATGCAGGCTAGAGTTAGCAATAATTATACACCTAATATTTAATCTTGTGGTTTTTACATGTTACAACTTGTTTATTGTATTACTCAACCCTTTGGAATGTGAGTCTTTGTCACCTCTGAATCCACATAGGATAATACTTTTTCAAAGATTATGACACTGTTGTATAAATTTTTCTTAATTTGTTGCGAAATTCTAATTCAATTTTATTTTCTTCATGGAAAACCATAATTTTTTTCAAATTGCACTTTGTAACTTGAAGTATGCCTCAAAAAGTGGTAGTGCTTGAGGGCCATTACTCTATTTTTAAAATGGATTTGGCAGGAAAATGTTAAAAGTCGGAATTCAGAATTTTGTGTAAGAAAGAAGGAAAAATGCTATTTTTGAGGTGATGCACATCGGAAAGCATGGGTAAGAATGAAGTAACTGAGGGGAAAGGTGTTGGTTCTCAATTTTAAAAACACTCTTTTATTAGCTGTCATATTCTTAGGTGCTTGAAGCTAGAACCTGAAGAGGCTGCTTAAGGTGCCTACCTTCCAAAAGGTTCTGTATCTATAGGCCATGTTTAGAGATACATGGAAACTAGGCTGCATAAATATCTGACTTACAGCCTAACTCAAGGAATCTAGCTTTAAGTATTGTAATCTCTGTTCTTGATGTACTTGAGGATGTTTGGGTATATCTGTCACACTTCAATTGCACCTTTGTTTGTAGTGCTTGATAGAAAACAACATTGTGCACGCATAACTTACTACCCAGAGAGTCAGTAATTGAGGTACTGTTGTTAAGTAATGGGATCTACAGGGTATTTCTAGCTTTTAACATTTTTGTTAACAGTTCAGTACTTTAATACAGGAATCCAAATAGAACATGGGAAGGTTGAAGGAATTAGAACGTTCTTCTAATTTAACAGTAGCAATATGATGTAATCTTCTACACTTAAAAACCTTTGTTGTATGTTTAAGTATATGACAAATAACATTAGGATGCTTTTTACAGTTTTTATACAAAGGGAGTTATTTATTTGGTCTATAACTACCAAAAGTACTGTATAGTACTATTAGTTGTTGACTTTATTTATTACAGATCCCCCAACTTCAAAGCAAATTTTGAGGGTCTAGGGGACTGCAAATAAAGAATGTGAATCCTCCCCCCAAATCTGTTGATAAAAATTGTGTTCGGGATGTTATTAGGATGCCATATCATAAGTGGAACATAAATGGTTATGAATACTGTACTGCTACACAGTGCTTGTGGGAGAATTTCAGTTCTATAGTCATTCCTCAGATTATACAATGTAAGAATACTTTTGGGTTTAATTTCAGTGTCCTCACACAAGTTCTTAGTGCAAAGTAGAACAGTGGTTCTGTGAACGGAAAGCAGCCGCTGCATTAAAAAACGCATATTTGACGACCCGTCTTGTTTTCTAATGCAGAGGCAACAGAATAGTAATGAATTTCCATCATCATGTAGAGATTTTATTGGGCTTTGAAAATAAAAAAGTGCCAAGAGAACTGTTTATTTGGCCTTGATGTCCAAAAAATAATAGAGTATCCTAAATTGTTTAGGTCTAGATATTGTAAATAACAAGCGTGTCAGAATTTAGAAGTGTGATAACTCAGTGGCTAAAATGAATGTGTTCATTATGCAGAAGATCCCTGGTTCAAGCCCAGATGGAAGGAACTTGGGAAGCAGGGTTAAGTAATTCCTCTGCCTGGAGTTACTGCTGCCCAATATACTGTGCCACAAGCAGAAGCTTGGAAGCGTTTCCTTATGGACCACAACTCTTAGAATCTAATGGCCAAGCCGGCAGGAAGATTGTAGGAGTTGTCTTCCTGCAGGGTCTGTTACGGCATTTGTCCCACCTTCAGTACTGCTTAGCGCATCCTTAAGTCATCAACTTTTGCCAAATTAGCAGTCTTTTAGTTTATCTTTACCGGATATATTGTAATTTGATGTTAATGTGGTTTGGTGTATGTGAAGACTTATGTTCATGGTGTTATGGGGATTTTCCCTAAAGTAGAAAAGTAACTTTTCTCTGAGGTATGGCAGAAGTCATAACTTGAAAGATATCACTCATTCAGAACTGAAGTATTCAGTGTTAACATAACATGCATTTTGCCAACTCTTGAAACATTTTCTTAATTCCAAATCATTGCCTGTAAAATGGTTAAATGTCTGGGAATAATGGTGCTTGCTCTACTGTAGACCAGCATCTGGTATTTACTTGGTGCAGCCTGTAACCTAGCCAGTTTAGATGACTTGAAGTGTTAAAATACTAACTTATTGTCTCAGTTTTATTACCTTGATAGTTGTGCCATCAGGTAATTATCTGGTGAAAATAGAGTGGTTATAGACTTGTGCATGTAGCTACTAATTGCACAATTAAGATTGTTTGGCTTACCTTAAAGGCACTTTGCTCTAAGACCTTCTAGCACTTAAAGCTTTATTGTTATCATTTGAACTTGCCAAGCTCAACTTAAAATTTAAAGTATTGGTAGGCTCAAATACCTAACTAAATTGGACGTTGTGCTTGAGCTGGTTTTGTGGTTAAAAACCAAGCAATTGCCATTCAGTTGATCTAATATTAATTCACTTTATTTAGTAAACGTACTGACCTGATCAAACTTGGATTTGCACCTTTATTTTCAGTATAGAAATACTTGAGCGATGATGTCCCAGCAAACTCTGTTGGGATCTTGCTGATGTTTACGCTAACTGGCCTTTTAGATGGAAATCCTAAATACACTTACTAGAGAGTAAGCCAGGTTTGTCATGGGACTTATTTTTGAGTAAGCAGGCATAAGATTGCACTAATAATACTTTGTTTATTAAAGTAAAAGTGCTGGGGCAAAAAGTTTTGCTACTGGTAATTATTGTTTAAATTTTTACATTATTCAAAAGTTCCAGTGTTCACTTAAACATTTTGACATGGAAGATCTCTAGCATTATCTAAATTATGTGCACATATCTAATTCTTAATCAAAGTTTGTTTGTTTTTCTGGCATACAGTCATGCTAATTGAGCTGAAGAGTCTGATGGCTTTAACTATGAAATCCTGTTTTTCTTTAACTTGAATCTTAGGTCGGTCTTGAACTTTTTAAAAAACCTTAAAAGCACTCAAATGCAAGCTTAGCTTGGAGGACTGTGATGTCATCAAATCATTAAAGGGTCTTCCACCAATGGTGCCTCCTCCTTAGATAAAAAAAACTGATACATTTCCTTTAATAGAGAACACTGGACTCTGTTTTGTTTTTATGAGAAACCTAGCTGACTTTGGACTGGGAACGTTTAAGGAAGCTGCTAGATAGAGGGATACTAACTTGTTTACATCCAGTTTTTAATCTGTAAATACAACATCACTATAAAAAGTTAAATCCTGACTAAATGAGTTGAACTTGGATCCCACTGATTTTAGTGGGGCAGTCATGGGTTTACTTTGTTCCCACTAATTTCGGGTAGGAACTAAAGTCTAACAACAGCCTTGGTCTAACTCCAGTTCTCTAGGTGGTAGAGCATCCTTGGAATGCAGGTAGAATCTCGACTTGCCAAAACAAGTGCTAGATGCTAGTTGCAAATTTGCAGCTCGTTTGCCCTTTGACTTAATGCTACCTTGAACATAACCTCATTTTTGTGTTAGATCACCTAAATGTGGAGACGTTCCTTGCAAAAGATGTAATGCAAAACAGTGCCTTTTGCTTGATATTTGGTTATCTGTTAAATTAGTGTTGTAGGGAACCTGAATCTCAAGTGTAGTTGCAAAGGCTAGAAGGGGACCACGAACACTGCCTGACCCATACAATTCTGTTCAACATAACCTACAGACTGTCACCAAGATGTTCTTTTCTTTTGTTTACTTGCGGTCATAGATGAATGTGCTATAATACAATAATGAGATAGAGAAACCTGGGTATTTTTAATAGATGAAATCAGTGCCTGGAAAAATAATGGGTAACCCTGAATCTAGAACTGGTTTTTGATAAAAGACATTTTGGCAAACACTAATTTTTTTGTGCATTCTGTACTAGCACTCTTGGATTCATATGAATCTGAAGACATTCACGTTTAGGAAGTATTTCAGCTAGTGTTGCTGTGCTTGTCATTCACTGAGTGTACCCAAGAACAGAATTATGTGGATTGTACCCTTCACCTTTTAACTTGACAGGAAGTAGACAGATACAAAGAGACAGGCACAGTAAATGAACTTGACAAATCTTTCAAGTTTAACTAATGCACTGATTGCTGTGCTAAAAGTAGGAATACAGATTGTACTGTGAAAGCTGTTATGTAGCTTTTGAAAGTTACTAAAATAACCTCAAAATATTTGTTGTGACTTATTTATAATGAGGGGCTAGTAATAATTCTGCCCCCTTGCACAGAACAAATGAACTAAGGCTGTAAATTTAATTTTGGTATATTTAAAAGTAGACTTTGGCAGTGTGTGTGTGTAGGGAAACCACTGTCCCCAATCTTCTAAATGATGTTAGAAATTTCTGAATCTGAAATTTTTGAATGTATTAAGTAAGGTACACAACTGTGCCTTTTCTGTAAAAATGTTTATTTAAACAGGCAAAATTGGTTGTAAATGTAGCAAAGTTCTAACAACTTAGTAGCTATCATTTTTGTGTGAAACAGTTTGAATTGTCATGTTACTGTGTAATTGACTTGCTCTAAAATGAACAATAAATTTAATAAAACAAAGTCATTGTCTTGTGTTCTATCCACTTGTTTCACTTTGGTTTTTTTAAAAAATGGATAAAATACTCACATGAGTATTTAATATCAAATATTGGTAACATGATGATTTTAATCATGTTAATGTAAAACTTGATGTTTAAATACTACTTCTAGCCGGTTAGAGAACATTTAGATGTAGTCCCATCAAGGAGCAGAAATTCTAACTTAATAGTGGCATGCTGAGTTTTCATAAAACTATGGTCTCATGCTTTGGCATAATCTAGATTCTTCTTGTATTGCAGAGTATACCTAAGACCAGTTAAGGCACAAAGATAGTTCAGGGAGGAATTCTAATGAAAGCTGGGGTACTTTGGAAAACATTTGTGGTTTATTTTCATTTTTTTAAAATAAAAGAGTTTACATCATGGATCTCTGTTGCGAAAGAGTAAGGCAAGCTTTGTTTTCATTTTTTTTTTATACCAGGGCCACAGCCGACTCTGGGAATTAGTTTTGGAACGCCATTCGGTTCAGGTATTGGCACTGGCTTGCAATCAAGTGGCTTAGGCTCTTCAGGCCTTGGAGGTACACTTTAACTTTTTCTAATGTTTCACTGAATAAGTATACAGCACTTCCTGAATTGAAGTAGGCAGCACACGTCACTGGTAGAACTAAATGCCGTCTTGTTTTATGCTCAGTACATGAGGCCAGTCCTTTGTATTATGTTAATTAATCAGAAGCTACTACTAGCCTCTGTTACTATATTGTCAATGTCAAGTTTGGGTGAGAAAGTCCACTATGGGTATAAGCAGATTTTGAGAGAATGGCTTGATTCCCTTCTCCACTTAGCCCCCAGTATTCTTTGATCTTTTTTACCATTCATAAACAAGTTAATTTGCATTGCCATCTTCATTACATATTCCTCCCACTTACTCTGTCATGATCTGTGTAGAGAGCACCATTTTGGCAGGGTGAGATCAGTGTGTCTTCTGTCACTGCTGAATTATTCTAGATCTAGGCTTACAAATCAGTTCTGCTTAGATAGTTGTTGATGGTAGGGGTCATTGCCCAAAGCAGGGGTGGGTAAACTGGTGCTCTCCAGAAATTCTGAGCTGCAGCTCACCAGCTAATACCTGCCTGGTGAATTATCTGGGATCATAGGAATTAGAGTCCCAAAAATTCACTCCAAATTCAGACCACCCAACTTGGCCCTAAAACATTCAGTCTTCTGTGCTATGTCTATACAGAGATTTGGACATATATTTAAGGAGTTAGGATGTTCTTGAAAAATTAGTTTTTGATTGGTAAAACATTCTTCTACTTTGTTAAGCCTTTTCTGTCTTTGGTGATATGATTTCAATATCTGTTATGGGAATCAACTGATGTAGGCTATACTTCATTCTGAGTTTTATCCATGATAAGCACATTTGTGAAAAAAACAAAATGTAGTCTTACATCTAGAGAGGTACTGCATTTCCTACAATGTTTAAACACATGAAGAGCTTTTTTTCCTACATTGTGGATCACAAAGGATACTCTTGAGTAGGCGTAGTAATGATGAATGTCTGCTGCTGCGCTGACGCATTGGCAAATCATTACACTTCAGGAAAACAAACATTTTTGTCTTCTTAAAGCTAACGTACAGCGGTTTGGGTGCCCTCCTTCCTACAATGCAGGAAGGTATCCTGACCTGTTTCCACCAACTCTGACATAGGTGGGGCTGTTTTGATTAAAGTTGTGAGTATTCTTCAGAATAAAAATACAGCTGTGAGCACTGGGATAGATGCCTAACCTTATAAAGTAGTTGAGATTAGCTACACTGTATGAGTGAGTTTATTAGAACAATAAACTGAAAGAGACAAAAAAAGTTTATTAAAGAGTGCTAAGACCCAAATCTGTTAGCCCCTACTGGATTAAACCTGCTGAACCAATATGACATTGTTGAGTCAACACTTAGGTAAGCGTCTTTGATTCAGTAGGTCTATAGTAGTTGGAATTGACAGTTGGTTTTAGACCTACCGTATTTGCCGGCGTACAAGATGACTTTTTGGCCCTGAATAACATGCCTCCAAGTGGGGGGGGTCGTCTTATAAGCCGGGTGCACTTCCAGCAAACCCTCACTCTCTCCCAGCGAAAGAAACCAAAAGAGGCAAAACGAACTCTCCCCATGATGCAGCCAAAGCAGAATCACGCATGCAGAAGAGGGGGTAGTCTTATACAGCAAGTATATAACTACATTTTGAGTGGAAATGTTGGGGGGTCGTCTTATACACCCAGTCACCTTATACGCCCGCAAATACGGTAGTTCAAACATTATTACATCAGCTGCATAATGTATACTTGTCATTGCACACATTGTGGTTGTATAATTTTTGTGGGGCCTCAGAACTTTTGAGTATTCAGTAGAGGAGTACAGCCCATAGGTTATCAATGAGAAGTGGAGGAATTAGTCAAACTGAGTATTCTTGCTCTCCCAGTTCTGTAAGCTGCCACATCTACCTGATTGAAGTAGGAAAAGTATGGCACCTGTCTGAAGTGATTGCCAATTCAAGCAATGGGAGTTAGAAGACCAAGCTCCACCCATTTATTGCTCTAAATAATTGTCAAACATGCAATCCAGCCCTATGTGTATCTTAACTTGTATTCCATGTCTCCACTACTGTTCTGCTAGGATTTGGAAGTAGCTCTGCTTTTGGAAGCACTGCCACAGGTGCACCATCGTTTGGATTTGGAGCTACAAATAAGCCTTCAGGAAGCCTTAGTGCAGGTTTGTTTTATTCTGAATGTTAAGGTATTTTAAGTCAATCAGCATTACATGGAACAATAGGGATGTGCTATTCTTTTTTTTTTCTTCCCTTTTTTTTCCTTTTGACTTCAACTCCCAGAATTCCGGCTCACAGACAACTACATTTCACTCACCCAGGAAAAGGATCTTGCTCAAAGGCTCCATGACCTATCTCTGGCCTAACTTACTGTTAAAAATGGTAGCTGCCCCTTTGTCACCTAAGAATCCTAGCGCACCTTGAGAGGTGTAATGCCAGGTTGTATAGCCTGTATAGAGGGCACCTTCCAAAGAATAACACCTCCCAGGGGGCCCTAGAACTCTCAGGGAGCCTCAAGTGCAGCTTCTTTTTTAAACCAGGAGCTAGGTCCTTCTCCAAAAAAGCAAAAATAGATGTGGGTCTGTGGGTTGAGACTCCTAGAATTTTGCCTAGGGAATTAATAGAGAATTCTGGGAATTGGAATTAAAAAGAAGAAGCATATCGCTATTGAGCCAACCATCTCAGTCTCTAAAATTCAAATCTTCCATTGATGTCAAATAAAGTTTGGGCAGAAGCTAAGACAGATGGGTTTTAGACGTACTCCCCTATTGAATGAACATTTTTAAAGTGCAATTCTATAGATCCAGAATCTTGGATTCACTCACCTTGTTCAGCATGCTCAGGGAAATCTTAGGCTTCTTCTTAAACACTAGCTGCTTCTCAATGCTACATAGCAAAGGTCTCTTGAAAATGAGAAATAATTGAAAGATATTCCTTGGTGTGGCACAGGAATCAATGGCTTAAAGAAAAAAGACAAAATTCTTATGAACAACAGTTACGTGCATGTAGGCTTTTATTTCATTCTTGACCAGCATCTTCAGGAGTGAATTGTAGTGATTCCAGACTTCAACGACTTTTTATAACTTTGTTCAACAGAAATCTCTTTAGATGTAGCAATACTGTAGTCAGCTACAATTTCCTGTAAATGTTATATATCGCAGTTAGGTTGGGCTAGCTTAACCTTAAATAAAAGTCTAAAGATCTTTTTGCTGATCTAAAAGTTAAAGCTAAGAGAATCCTTGAAAAGTTGATGTGAAATGAGTAAGTTTGAATTAGAAAACATGGCTGACTTTTTATCTGTATGTTAAATATTTTATTTATTTATTTAATTTGTATGCCGCCCACACTACCCAAAGGTCAAAGTTGAAACAGGTTGGAAAAGTCAAAGGCCTAAATCCAGTGTAGCGTTAGGAGAGAAAAACAGTACATTAGCAAGTTCCTTTTTTTCATTGGCACATGCAGTAGCACAGTTGATTTTGTTACTCTCTCATTGGCATGATACAGCTTGTGAAAGTGGAACCTGCATCTGATCCTCCCTTCCTTTGTGTATAGTCCAGAGCAAGATGTTTGAAAATGCAACATGATTTGTGCTAGTGCAATAACATAACTCCTAGTTAATGTGAATTGGCTGTGCTTCTGTTGCTATGTTCTCAATACTAGCTTGTTTCAGTTCATCAAAAGAACTCACTACAGTTTGGTTGTAGGTTTTTCGGGCTGTCTGGCCGTGTTCTTGAGGTTGTTCTTCCTAACATTTCACCAGTCTCTGTGGCCATGCAGTTAATTAAGTGGAATGCAACCCACAAAAGGTTTTGGCCTCACACATAATTTAATGTTCTGCGAGACTTTGTAGTATAACATGTGCAACTTGTTCACATTTTCTGTCTTCATTTGGCTATACCAGGATCTATTTTCTGGACTTGTCTGTACCATAGGCTTCTAGTCTGTTTAAGGCAGTGCTTCATTTTATGCCATGTTACATCTAGAAGCGCATACACTCTTCTGACTCACATTTCCTTTTTCTCTTAATGCATATCATGATAAATTTCAGAATTTACTTGGTATCCTGTACTTTAGGCAATACCAGTTCATGACATAATGTGGAAGTTGTCTGCCATCCGCTCCAACCCTTCCCTCTAGGATCTGACACCTCCCCCGGTGCATCTCTCTAGAGAAAATGAAAAAAAAAATTACCCTCCCTCCTCATGTAAAAGTGTGTGTGCTGGTTATTCATTGATTTATTTATTGCACAGAGCAAGGTTAGTGGAACCAAACAGTGTAAGCTGGAATGTGTGAGAAGAAATATGCCCAACTCTTGTGGTGCGATAATTAACTACTCACAACTTGAGTTCAGTCTCAACAGGTTCATGTAGCTGGCTCAAGGTTGACTCAACCTTCCATCTTTCTGAGGTTGGTATTTATTTATTTATTTATTGGACTTATATACCGCCCCATAGTGCTACAAGCACTCTCCGGGCGGTTTACAATTTTAATTATACAGGCTACACATTGCCCCCCCAGCAAGCTGGGTACTCATTTTACCGACCTCGGAAGGATGGAAGGCTGAGTCAACCTTGAGCCGGCTACCTGGGATTTGAACCCCAGGTCGTGAGCACAGTTTTAGCTGCAGTACAGCGTTTTAACCACTGCACCACGAGGTACCGAGCTTGCTTTGGTAGTGGTGGCGGCAATGCTTTCTTGAGTGTACTAGTAGAATGGACAAGGAGAGACAGGCTTTGAATAAGACATGGTGTTCTTGGTGGAAGGATGGGCATTAGGAAAGGATGTCAGCTTTTGGATTCTCCACTTGTAGCTTGGAATCTTGCCTCTGTCCAAAGCAGTGCAACCCATCCTGCCACAATTCCCTTTGCCATTAAAAAAAAAATCTGCAGTGCCCTTGGGTCTACTGTTAAAGTAGGCACATTCTCACAATGGAGTTTTATGAACTCCCTGAAATGACGGCTGGGTAATATAGGGCTACAGTTTCACTCTTGAAAAATTGACTGACTTAGATTAGCACATGGTTGTAGTATCTTCTCACCTGAAAATATTTTCCCCTCCTCTACAAGGCTTCGGCAGTTCGAGTACTTCTGGGTTTAACTTCAGCAACCCTGGCATCACAGCATCTGCTGGCCTGACATTTGGGGTGTCCAATCCGGCATCTGCAGGCTTTGGCACAGGAGGACAACTTCTCCAGCTGAAGAAACCTCCCGCTGGAAACAAAAGGGGGAAAAGATAAAATATGAACGAGGCAGCCGGCTGGGTGGAGGAAAGTTAGGGTCGGAGAAAAATGATGCATCCAGTTAGCTGGTCCTGAAATAATCTATTTTTTTAAGCGGATTCTCTGTGTCCTTGAAGGTTTATAACATTTTGCTACTCCTTTGCATTCTGGTTTATGAAGTGTAATTGTAACAAACAGCTATTTTTTTGCAAATAAGGTTCACATAAGAACTTTTTTTTGTCTTTTAGATATGTATTTCATTATTAAGGACTCTGTAAATCCATTTATTTAACATAATGTTAGCAACAGGATATTTTTGTCAACATGCTAAAAACCTTATAGAGAGATGCATATTTGGTTTCTTTGTACAAATAAAGTATATTCTAGTACAAATGATTGAATTCATATCTTCTGTTTCTTGATATGACCTCTTTAAAACTTAGGATCATTTTGTGTATATGTATGTAAATATATACAGTACAAATGCACACTTGTGTACATATAATACATTGCAAAATTAGTCTCATAAGACAGAATGTTTTCCCATTTACATTTGGTTAACCCCTTCAACATAATGTTAACATAGCAAAGACCAATTGCGACATTTACTAATACCCATAGGACACTTGTTTGGTATGTACTTTTCAATTTCTGTTTCCCTTTCAATGCTGTAAATGAAATGGGTGTTCATAAACATTATTTTAAGATTCATTTGATTCAGAATTGTCACTATATCTTTAGGTTACAGGGCTTCAGAAGGATTTTTGAGAGGTGCTAGATGATTCTGAAGTAAACTGTCTGGGTAAACTGTTCCCACAAATAATCAGCTCAGGCAATCTGTGCAACTTAATACTGTAGTTCTTGGGGATGATACAGTTCCACAGTAGAGCATGCTACAATGCAGAAATAGGTGCTTATTTTTTTTATCGGCACCATTCCCCCACATTCTGCTGTTCACATGAGCAAGCTAGTATACATTTGCATAAGGCAGGACTATTTGGGAGAAGTTTCACTTCTCCCATGGAAGAGAAACTGAGATATTCTGGCCTTCACCAGACCATTTTAAATGAATAGATAGCATCTCTCTTTCTTGAGTTGATGCTTATCTATCTTCAGGCATAGTAATTTAGCTGTGTGCTTGAGAACACAACTATTCCACATAAGAATAGTATGGATCTCATGTTAGGGTTCAGACTGCAGTATCTTTGCTTGTTGATTTGTACAGTATTTCTGACTCACTGGCTGTTTAAAAACAATAGCAACAGGAACATTTATTGCCTTAAATGAGGAGCTATAGTCATAATCCTTGAATGTCTTTGCCAGGCCAGATCCCATTCATTTCAGCAGGGCTTGAACCAAGCCACCTCTTCATAAGTTAGCCTTTCTGACCATTGCTGTGTGTGTATGTTTGCATTTATGTCTACGTACAAATAATTTTGGTGAAGTCTAGCTTTTTTTTTTTACACTATATTTTGTATATAACTCAAGTTAATTTTCATCTACACACTTTCAGATAAAAAACAGTACGCACATAATTTTTGATTTTGAAGTTGGCTGCTTTCAGTTGTTGAGTTCTATTTTTGTAAGTTACGGCTGTTTTGTCAAATGCTAAAAAGTTATCTGGCAGATAAGTGAGTCTTGAATGTGACAGGTTCAAAAGTAAGGGAAATAGTGCAGTTTTTTTTCACCTTTGTACACATGTATTAATGGCATCTGAAGTATAAGCACTTTTTTTAAAAGAAGCTTTTAAACTTGTCAGGAATAAGGGAAGCTTAAAACATTTTCTGACCACAGGTTTTTTAAAATTTCTGTTGGGCTTCAGTTAACAAATCTGATATATGTATGTTATTGCTTTTTAGAGGATTGAAATGTTGAACCACTAAATTTCCTTGGTGTACATAGTCTGAGCCTATTTTTTAAAACTGTGTTGCTGTCTTTGTCCTTATGTGCAGCATTTGTTCTTCCAATAATAAAATTGTTTGAAGTGAGTCATGTTATTATTTCTGGTTTGTTTTATTTCCCCTAAATTGTGATCTCCTTCCCCACCCCCACCCCACATGGAGTGGAAATCAATAAGTTTGATTCAGACAAGATGATTCTTCTGTCTGCATCTGTTTTAGTTAATGTAACACGTGAATCAGACCATCTCTGGATTTAGGTTGCACCAATTCCCCTTTCTCACAGTGAAAAGATGTGCTGTCACAATACTTGGAATGGCTGCTGGTGGATGTTCATTAAATGGGATTTTGATCACAGGACTAAATCCAACTGTTGCCTTGCAAACATGCACTGGGAGTGAAAGATGAGCATTTCTCCCTGTTGCTTCCCGCCTGCGTATCCTAGCAACTTTTTATTTATGGTATTTATTTATTTATTTATTTAATTTATATGCCGCCCACTCTACCCAAAGGTCTCTGGGCGGCTTAACAACAATTTTGGCTTTGCACAATGCTCTAGGGCTGAGCCATTACAGGGTAGTGGTCCATAAAAGTGGGCCAGCAGGGTTCCCCCTGCCCCGCATTCTTTCCCATAATGCCTCAGGCCTGAACCCCTAGGGTTAAGGCATTATTTGAAGACTTGGCAAAGGAGTAGATAGGATTTGTAAGCAGATGGCAAAAACGCATTGCTGTTATCCTCTACTGCCTTCCCCATGAATGTTTTGAGACTCGGTGGTAGCACGAGACGGTGCCAGTGCCTCTCTTCCAGCCTCAGTTGGCAGGAGCGCTTATGCCAGTGCTATAGAGCAGACCCACTAAATGAGCAGGATTTGTTTGCTCAACATGTCACTTGAGTGGTTCTACTAGTCAGTCATTGTTCAGTCTCCAACTAGTTTATTTTGTTTCTTCAGAGTGATATATTTGACCTTGTACTAACCATTGATATTAAAGAGGTAGAATTATACTGAGATGGTATTTGAGATGTGTTAATTCCTTTCACATCACAAGGTAAAATACATGCTTCTATTTTTAGTTTCAACTCGGCATTTGGAACTATGAATCAAAATATGAATGAGTTTGTATCAGTTTTTGCTTTAACCATTCGCTGATGCAACATATCAAAAAAGATGTAAACTGTTAGACATTGGCTTAGTTTGGTTGTCTGAGTAAAGGAAGCCATGGCCTTTGGTTTGCAGGCCCTGAACAGAGCTATTAATGATAATGGCCTTCTGGAGGTTTTTAATTCACCATTTGAGCTTCCTCCAGTCTCACTGTTGGGAGAAAGTGGCACATAAATGCAATAAATAAGTTGGAATTGACTTGACAGAATATATCAGCAATGATTTTAGTACCTTTAGTACAGCTTCACCTGATTAAAGTACCTAATCTGTGTTCTTGAATGAGGGTTTTGATGTGTGGGGCAGGTATGCCTTAGTGACTTGGTTTGTCATTCATTCGTTCATTTGTTCATTTTACCTACTTCCATCCAGTGTGGTTTACTAACTAAGGATTAAAAATGGTCACTTTCCCCATGTAGCATGAGCTGTGCTATTTGGGGGATGAAAATAGCTGTCCTCCACACCTGGAGGGCACCAGCTTGAAGAAAGCTGAGTGAGGGTATTACTGATTCTCCTTTCGGTTGAACTGAATCATCCTATTAAAGGGAGGGGATTTCAGCTGTAGAGGATTTAACTTTTTTATGCAGAGTATATGGAACATTTAAGTGGCAGGGAGAGGAATTCTGACATTTCTGTTATAAATGGAGGTTTGTTCACAAGATGACTATTTTTTCGGCTTTGCAAAATGTCTGCCCTGTGTTTTCCGGACCCATGCTTTGCAGGGCAGCCATTTTTACAGCTGATCGGCGCTCGCAAAATGGCTTCCCTATGGGCGATCTTCGCTGGACGAGGAGGTATTTTCCCCATCGGAACGCATTAAACCGGGTTTCAATGCATTCCAATGGGGAAAGGGTTTTCGCATGACGATTTCGCTAAACAGCTATTTCAATGGGACGGATGATCATCGTCATGCGGGGCACCACTGTTTGTCAGTGTGATTGTATAATAGCAAAATTCACCAGCATTAAAAAAAAGTTTAGATTTATGGACAGAGCTTCTGCTAACCTGTTAGAATAACTTTTTTCCAGAGAGAAAACTACCATGCTGCATTATCAGGATTCTTGCAAGTCATCTCCTTTTAGGAATAGCTTGCCCTGGAGCTGGCATGCATGTATTTTATAATAACAAATCTACAATAAACCCTCCTTAAGGTCATGCGGCCAGTGGTTATTTGAATTCTAACCATTTTGGCCGCAGTCTTCTGTCCTATACTTATACAGTAAAAGTAATATTTTGATGTGCTAGTAGATCAAAATAAGCTATTGTTTTAGCCATTTCCATTGTGAATTAGAGCTGTGTATCTTCAAAAATCAGTACATTTTCCCAATGCTGCTTGTTCTTTCAGCTTGAGATGTATTTTCTTCTCCAGCTATTAATTGAAACTACAAGCAAAGCTGCAATAATGGACTCTGCTTTGTTGAAACTACTGTATTTGCTGGTGGATAAGATGACTTTTTTGGCCCAAAAAATGCCTCCAAGTGGGGGGGTCGTCTTATACGCCGGGTGCACTTCAGTTGGGCCAGGAAGGAGCCGCCGCCATTGAGTGAGTGATGCGGGGCCGCTCCGGCCAGGGATGAAGGCAGGCTGGCGGGTGGTCCAGACGGAGGAAGGGAAGCAGAGCTGGCCATGCCTGAGTGGCCAGAGCCCGCCGCAGGGCTGCCTGCCGCCCCGCACCACTGAGCCAGCTGCTCGCCTGCCCACCGTCAGAGAGCCACTTCCCCTCGTCCTCCGCTGCCACCGCCCATCTGACCGCTTCCCCTCCTTGCCCTCCTCGTCGCCAGCCATGAACTTCCAGGGCGGACCCGGGTAGAGCCCTGGGCAGCTGGTGCCGGCACCACAGCAGAGCTGTCCACTCTATATTTTGAGTGCAAATGTTGGGGAGTCTTATACACCCAGTCTTGTACACCAGCAAATACGGTATTTGAAACCTTAAATAGAATTATTGGAATGAGTTGCTCATTCTCTTCAGTTTGTATTAGGATAAGATAATTAAATGTTTGTGTTTTATTTCAATGGAGATAATCCAGAAATCCACAGTGAATCTCGTCTTCAACCACCTGCTTCAGACGAATTGATGCGGAGGTCCTCACTGAAAAATGCCCCAGGTTAGCACATTTCTCTGAAACCACTTCTTTAGATCTTAACCATGTCCTCAGTTCCTATGCAATTAATGCGTGGAATATTTTTCATTGTACAAAGTTTTTCAAGTCACACGTAACTTTCCCAATAATATTGTAAGAACGGGCAGATTGAGAAATCTTGTTTTGCTGAAATTTTCTTGATGGACTTCACAAATGGTTGGAGACTTTTTACCCATGTCTTTCCCAGTCAAAGACAACACTGTCATAAAATCCAAACAGGTATATTAAGTATTATCTCTTAGAATTAACAATACATCATACCAAAGCACAGCATACATACTTGGATTGCCAACACTGTCATAAAATCCAAACAGGTATACTGTATTAAGTATTATCTCTTAGTATTAACAATACATCATACCAAAGCATAGTATACAGTACATACTTGGATTGAGCGCATGCACACACACACACACACACTATATATATATATATGAAACTGAATATAATATATATATTCAGTTTCAATACAGCAGTTCCAGCTATGTGACCTGAGGGGCCAAGCCTTGAAAGCTTAGTTTTGAAGGATAAATAGTATTTTATATATAATATTTAACTTAAAACGAAATTCCTTAAACTTATCAGATTTTCAGAGAAGAAGTTTTTTCACAACTCCCATAGTTTACAAACTGGCTTGCTTTGTTTTGTGATTGGTCTCTGGAAGGTAAAAAGGGTCTTTGTTTGCAAGTATGATCACTGAATCATGGAATTCTGCCTGAATTATGTCTCTGGGACACTTAATAGAAATCAGTTTCTAAGGACAGACCTCCTGTTTGGTGCTGAGAACCTGCTGAGTTATACTTCATAAGGGAACAAACGATGGAGTTGTTCAATTAAGGTTGGAAAGGTACGTGGAAGTCCTTTACTCCAGTTCCCTGGCAGCATATAGAAATGTTGCAAGTATAGCTGTGGTGGGCTGATTTCAAGTTTGTGAACTACTTTTTTTTAATACTAAAACTCCAAGACACACTCCCTGCAGCTTTCTTTATTTCATCAATACAGCCTAGGACAGTGTATGAGCCATTTTGTTGCTGCTGTTGGACAATTTTCATTCCAGCTAAAGTAGAACAATTGAAATACTTGGACTTTTAAGTCAACACAAACATAAGTCAGTTTGTTCTGTTTGCTGTTGTCTGATTTTATACTTTGTCCGATTATGCTATTCTGTCATTTTATACATACACCTCCCAGAATAGTGCTGTGCAAGAATGGAGTGGTATATAAATGCTGTGAATAAAATAATATAAATAAGCAAGCCAGCCAGCCCACCCGCCAGCCCATTTATTTTAATGAGTCTCCTTTAGTCAGGACTCAGATACTTGCCAGTGGCCACAATTCTATTGCCAAGTTATGCCTGCATTGGAGAAATTCTATAATTCTTGGTGGAAAAATTGTAACTCATTTAACAATGTGCTGGTTGTGTTCCTGAACATGCACCTGGATATGAAACTAGATGGACCCAGGACAGCCCAGCAATTTGTTAGTGAGTGGCAGTTTGCCATCAAGAGTTATGTGACTGACCATACACAGGAATAAATTGGCACCAGAAGACACTTCTTAATTTGGTAAAACTATTTTTTTAAAAAAATTGACACAAAATTAGCATTGTAGTTTAAGAGTGCATTCATTGTGTGGTAAAACACTCCAGGTCCTAAGGAATGGTGAGAAAGCCTTTTCAAAGCAAAGAAAAGTTAGGGGTTATCTGCGAATGCAGATAGAGCCAAATAACTCAATGATCTGAATGAATATAAATCAGGATCATATCTGATCATCTTATTTTTGTAAATATACTTGTC